GTTAGAGCTTCCTTTCTTCCTTCCTTGCCATCGGGTTTCTGTCTCTCCATGCTTGATCTCCACCTTGTTTTGTTCACACCAAGGAATAATTTTCCTTTTATACCTCACAGCCAGCCAAGGTCAATAAAAGGCTAACTAATCCTAACCTCATTAGGACCGTAGTTCTCCTTGAACAAGGAAGTAAATAAAACAAAAGCAAGCTAATTAAAAGCAAATCCTCCACGTCCACTTCACGCCTGCAACTCCAGCCCACTATTTTCTTTAGTAAACTTGATTAGGTCCATTGAGACTTTTCCACCAAAATTGCTCCAGACACCCAAAACCTGCACTTCTACTTTAGTTTCCATGAATTTCCAAAATTGAACACCTGTCAATCAAAACAATTAAATTTAGTGCAATTAACCAATCCAATTATAAAAATCTAAGGGAAATATTTATCAAAAAGCTATATAAATATAAACACATCAACAAGCTTTGCCAAGAAGCCACTTTGACTAACCATAATGGAATGTCACTTTTGGTCATTGTAGTTTATAGATTTTTTCACTTTCGTCCTTGTGGTTTTCAATTTTAATGGACGGAAATTTTGAGGTGTCCTTGAATTGTTACAATTGATACAAATAGCAACTTTTATTTTGGTGTTAAAACAAATAGCTTCTTTCACTAACAAATAACTATCAATTTTGCTGAGAGACAATAATACCATTACCTAAAACCGTGAATGTTTTAACAATAAAATAATGTGATATCATAAAAAACAAAAAAATATTAAATTACAAACGAATCACCTTAGCTGCTTCATCCCCATTTATGATTTTTTTGTATGTGGTTTGACAAATTTCATGTAGAAAGACAATGAGTAGAAGAAAAGGGAGAGCTCTCCTTCCTGCCTCTTTGAGGGATTCATATATCATATATACCCTTTTACTTTTAGGGATTCCAAAAATTAGCCAATTTCAACGCTTTTGTAATTTAAGTTCACTCAATAAATGGGAGAGAATTGGAGCAAGGGGTTGGGAGTGTGTGGGGGTGTCCGTAAGACAGGGTGTCTCTAGAGATTGAATAAAAAAGATTATCGTTGGCGTCTGAGTCTTGACTAGTTCAAAGATAGAGTTGTATTTGAATTGAATAAGTTACGTGTTTTTGAATTCGAGTCTGATAGTTTTGCAAATAGGGATTGATGTATATCTTCCAACTTCTGGTGGGTACAGTTCAATCAAATTGTTTCTGGTGTTTCAAAAGTTTTACAGTGGCATCGTGGAAGGTAGGTGAAACAATTTAATATTGTATTGAATGAATGAATGTATTGCTTACAGACTCAGGTCCTTGTACACAGTTGATACTTCTATTCTAGGTAAATACATGTCAATTCTAAGCTAATTACAATCTATTCCTACAATCACTCAATCCAGAATCATTAACATATTTCTCACTCAATATAGAATCATTGACATATTTCTTTCCTTTAACACTCTCCCTCAAGTTGGAGAGTGGATATCAATAACGCTCAACTTGCCAAGAAGCGAACTGAATACGGGTGCCTTCAGTGGCTTGGTAAATATATCTGCTATCTGTTCCCCTGTTTGCACGTATCCTGTCTTGATCTCTCCTTTCTCTATTCTTTCACGAGCAGTATGACTATCAAGCTCAATATGTTTAGTTCGTTCATGATACATTGGATTTGCAGCAATATACAAGGCGGCGTGATTATCGCAAAATAGCTTTGCAGGTTCAGAATGATTCACATGCAGATCTTGCAACAGATATCTTAGCATCTTAGCCAAGTTAGTTCACATGTGGTTGCAGCCATTGAACGATATTCTGCTTCGGCTGATGATCGTGCAACTGTAACTTGTTTCTTGCTTTTCCAGGACACAAGCGCATTACCAAGAAATATGCAATAGCCTGTGACTGATCTGTGTGTGATTGGGCATCTGGCCCAATCTGCATCACAATAACCAATCAGCTTTAACTGATTCTGTGAAGGAAAATGTAACCCTTGACCTGGAGCTTCCTTTAGGTAGTGGAGAAGACGGTATGCTGCATCAAGATGTTGACATCTAGGTTCTTGCATGAACTGACTCATAAGTGATTTCTGGTCTTGTAATTGTGAGAGAAATCAGCTTTCCAACTAACCGACGATATCGAGTAGGATCTTTGAGTAACTTCCCTGTAGATAACAACACCATATCATGGTCCATAGGAACTTTGGCTGGTTTGGCTCCAAGTAATCCGGCTTCTGCCAAAATGTCAAGGGTGTACTTTCGTTGGCAAATAGAAATTCCAGATTTTGATCGTGCCACCTCAACACCAAGAAAGTATCTCAAGGGTCCGAAATCTTTGATTCGAAATTGACTGCCAAGAAAGTGCTTCAGTTTACAGATGGCTTCTTCATCATTATCTATATAGTAAATTGCATATTGTTGGTCTGTACAAGTAAATAAGAAACTCGAATTTCTTCTTCCTGTCCTCGACTTCCTTCTTGAGTTGGAGACTCAGCTCACCAAGGATATATGAACTAGCTTCAGATGCATAGTGTCGAGCAATTGCGTACCTAAACATTCGGAGATCAGACAAATAAAAACAGTACAAATCTCAAAAAAATTTAGAAGACACAAAATTAGAAGAAGAAAAAACGGAAATCCAACCCTTCAGCAATGGCGTTCATAATGAATGAATCTTCTGCCATATACTGCTCAAAATCCCTCTTTGTCAAACCGCCACTGCATAGAGACAAAGAGAATGGAGAGTATAAACCTGAAGAGAACAGTTCTTTATTAGATTTCCACAAATCATTAGTAATTTCAAGTACGGGGTACTCCTTCTCCATGATTACAGAGAGATCAAAGAGATGAAGGCGATAGGGCTTTACTAGGGTTTTTCTATTTTTCAGTCGATCAAGGCGATAGTGCAAGGAACTAATTGGACCGAAGCGATATGTCTAGGTCTTAAGCGATGAGTACTTCCTTTTGTGCCCCAAACTATATGGTAAAATATCAATTGGCACAAAATGAAATGGGAAATTGTCTTTTTCTTTTTCTTTTTATTTTTTATTTTGGAAAGGATATTTCAACTACATTAAATAAATAAATAATCAAGAGTCCAAAATTAGAAACAGGTTGAGTGTATGCCTTGCATTTTCTTGAAATTTTAATTCCGTTCCGGAGATTGCTTATGGAAACCATGAAAGGCATGCATAAGCAAGTCCTTGCAATATGGAAACCAACCAAGAAGCTGTGTTTAACTCGAGTGGCAATATTGAATCTTAACATCCAAAAAGTTATATAATTTTCATATCATGCATTCTCACACAATTAGGTCTTGTTTGCTTCATACTAACAGTTTGAAGGCTTTTATTATGCGGTGTTTTCCTTCTACTTGTCCAACTGTAATATAGTTAATAAACATGCATAAGGGTAACAAACAAAACTTATAGGCTTATACAAGTAGCATTCTCCACTATCATAACCATTGGCAACGAGATTATCAATCTTTCGTAAAACATTTCCAGTTTTTATCTAAAAAGTTCAGTTCAAATTAATCCCTTGCTAACCGAATTTCAACCTTATTTTGGAGAACAAATAAGTAGAGAGGGCATATTACAGAAGCTAGAATCAACCGTTCATGACGATTAATGGAAACTCCAGCTACTAAGAATAATATAGCAATACCAAAACAATGGCGTGCAAGATTTTGACTAATTCAAGACAAAATCAATGTACTCCTGCTAATGATCCTAAAGAACTATTCACCTAATTCTTTGGTCCTGCATTTTGAAATTCACCCTTTTTGCCTGCTGCCTTTAGGTTTGGGATATAGCGGGGTGGGGTGGGGTGGGGTTGGATGGGATGAGCTTGGACCACAAAAAACCTCTGAAGGTAGAAGAGCTGGATCAAATCTTAAACAAAAAAAGTTCACTCTATTTCCGTCGTCATCATGAATACTTAAATGTTCAACCATAACTCTATCATCATATCAATACTTCAACCATAAGGATATTTTTGTCTTTCGAGTATAAGATCAAGGAGAATTAAGTTGAACAAATATACAACAGCAGCACATCAGTACAAACATGGAATATTATTGATGATGCATGCGCTTCACTCTCCTCATCGAGGCTTTTCTCCAGTCAGATAACCAGTTTGTAGGCTGTCAGTAGGATCTAAACTGAAAAAACATACAACTGAGGTTAAGAGAGCCATAATAGATGATAGCATTCCACATAATAACAAATATAAAAAGTTTTCTGAAGTGCAAACTACATGGATATATTATTATATACCTCTTCACTCCTTGAAACTCAACCGTTCCCTAGATGATGTATCTTCTTTCATCGTCTTAATTGCATCACATATTTGGTTGACTTGTTAATTAGGCCCATGATAAGAAGATAGTTCAACTCACTTTCAATTCAGGTCAGCTTCAATTTCCATTTAAAATGGTAATTACCCTACCCATCATAATAGGACGGGCGCTCTATGTTCAATATAAAATTTCTCTGAATAAATTATTATTCATCCCAGCTACATGATGTTGTAACAAATGCGCCAAAAACCATTAAAACAGAGCTCCAAACATTGCAAGGTTCATGAACCATGGTCATCTAATAGGTTGTTGCAGTGTAAACAGAAACACAGAGAAACAGAAAACTAGACAGGGAGCATGCATGTGTGCTACATACAAAAAGCACGAAGATTCTTCTTACATTTCCTGCAGCTCTTTGTTGCAAAGCCACCAACGAAGCATTCTCACTCAAAGTCGCATGACTGAATGGAAGACACCAAGCTTGTATTAGCATTACATGCAGCTCAACGAAAATGTGTGAATATACATATATGGCATGCCTGAAAGAAACATAAATGGCATGCACTACGACTTAGTTCCAAAACTGCATGCATTATCAAAGCCGCTACGCATACTACGCATATGTCCAGGTTACAAGAAATCAAACTCGATGAACTTGTCACCGGATTGCCAATACACAGGAATTTACCTTCACATTGAAATCCAAAGATTTCATGGCGTCTCCCACTTCTTCAATCTTCCTTTTCTGAATATGCTTATCTAATAATTTGTTGTAACTGAAATGGAAATAAGCATATATGATTCGAGTCATTCTTTAACAAGCAGCAAAGTGATTACAGACGGTAAAGGAATCTGAAAATCTGATAACAAGTACAAAGGCATATACCCTCTTAACTAAGACCTCCTCTCTTTTCTCTTGCCAGTTTGGGCCCGTGCAAGGAACCAACTTCTCTTTCTGCAAAGGAAGTTTGAATTGAGTAATTACTTAAGCAATGTGATAACAGTAAAAGGCAATATAAAGACAGAAAAACATGAAGCATGCATATACACACATATATAGGCAGAATCTTTAGTTCCTTTCTTTTACCTCCTCAACCCTAGGGGGAAGCCAAGGGATAAAATCATTACTATAAAATTTCAAAGCACCGGCCTCAACAGCAAGGTGTGAACATTGTGGGTCTGTCCTTATGACGATCTCGGCTGAGCACTGGGTACAATTGAAAAAAAATCTGAATGTGTGATCCTTCCAAACCTCCGAAAACTCCTGTAAAAGATACAACAATTAGTAAGTAACCCAACCCAACTTACTGTGTATCGCATGAAATTTAAACCTCAAGAAATAGAAAACACCAAAGCTCTCAAAAACTAGTCTGCATCCACCATCAACAAAAATAACGAACCCTAGAACTAGGATTAAGAGAAAGCAAAACGAGAGATGAACTGGGCAATTAAAGATTGAAAACCCAAACAAGATTAAGATTAAAACCCAAGTAAGTACCTCGCCGAGGGTTTCTTCTTTGCGAGAATTGAACTTGGTGCCTTTGGCCATGACATTGCTACAACAGGTGCAGCGAATGCTCGAGGGAAGCATCATCACAACATTCTCAATCTGCGGGTTCTTACGCTGGGCCGCCATCACAAATTTTATATAATCTTGATGAGTCGATTTTATATTATATATTTAACCTCATTCTTAGTATATTTTGGTTAATATTTTGGAAAAATTTTGATACTTTGAATTATATTTCTAATATAGGTCTTTCAACTTCCTCTGGAGCAAAACATAATCAAATGGACGAATTTTGGAGTAATTCCAGTTGGAGGACGTACGTGAGTCACTTAGCTTGATCGTATCAAAATATCAGACTTTTCCACCAAGCGACTTTTCCACCAAGCGATGATTTCCTGACAAATAAATGAAGGAGCAGTGCGCTATGCTGGAATAGTGATGTTTTGGGCTTTTATTGCGTTTTTGGAGCCCAAGATGACTTCGGATAGGTTCGTGACCTTCTGGAGAAGTGTTCGGAATATTTTTATCTTTAAAACGAGCTATCTTGGGCTATATTTGGGGGAGATTTGAGACTAAAACTTGGCTGGGCAGATTATGGGCAGATTCTCCTAATCCAATTTGGACTTTATTTCCTAGTCTTATTTTACTTTAACTTAGTTTCCTTGTGGGGATTGGGTAGCTAGGTTTTAGGAGGTATTTAAGCTCCTTTTCACAGAATTTAGGGGAACTCCCTTTTGACTTCTTTTTGGCTTTGGAAGCAATTGCTAGGGTTTTGGATTTTCGCTACTTTCAGGTGTTTTCATTCTTATTTATTCGAATGATATTTTCTTGGATTTCAATTATGATTATGTGTAACTAATTCCTTTTGCTAGGGTGAGGCCGTAAGCCTTCGCATGAATATATAGTTTTATTAATTTGCTTATGAATGGATGCATGTTTGCTTTGAATTATTAATCACTATGTTTAAAACTATCTATCTATTTTAATGACTGATCGCCATTAGGATAGGTAGACAAGTAATTTGATGCAATTTCTATTGGAACATCACCCTGAAATTGAGGAGGGCTTGTGCTTAGTAATTGTAAGTTCACTTAAGGCGAACATCACGCTCTTAAGGGTTGCATGGTTTTTCAAAGGGTTTTCACAAAGCTTAATGAGTCTTGCATGTTTATATTTGATCTGAACATCACAGACGGATTGCATGTTAGATATACGTTTTCGCTTGAACATCACAAGGAAAATATGCATTAGGAAAACCTAACCTTCAAAGCATATATGTGGAAATTCATAAGTAATTAATAGAATTGCATAGGATTGCGACGGTGTTGGCTAAACCCTAGTTTTCTCTAAATTGTTAGTCTTTAAAAAGAAATCGTTTTTTTTCTTTACTGTTATTATTTCCCAACTTTCAGATTTCTTTTACTGTTAGTTTAATCTTTTCAAATTCATAAACTTCAAATCTTTGATAAAATCTATTTTAATTATTAATTAAGAGTTAGTTTAATTACAGATTAGTCAAACAATCTTTGGGGACAACGACCTTGCATTAGCATTTATACTACAATTACCTTGTATTCTTGCAAGTATTTTCAGTGATTTTAACCCTGTTTGCGCAGGTACTAAAAATCCTATCAAATCTCTCCAAATCGAATGGGTATGTATGATGTATTCAATATGAGGAGAAGGGAAGAGGTAATTGAGGTTGCAGCAGAGTTTGTATTTGGGTGGGGGAGATAAAAATACCGTATTTTAGGATTGGGTTGAGAGGAAGAACGTATAAGATATAAGAGACGATAGATCTAGGGTTTGGGGATGAGACTGTTTCTGTCGAATGGGCGATTGAAATATAGAATGGTAGACAATTAATCTTCAATCACGGCGTAAACAAAATTTTGGACAAATTTGGAGGCTCGCATTTAGCCCTTTAGCCCTTCAACTGGGCCAAATATAACCCAGCTTTAGCCTAGGCCAAATTTTTTGTGGGCTCTATGTATTTGCTTTTCAACAAACCAACATTAAAGCATATATATATTTTTAAAAGCCTTTTTAAATGTTTCAAATTGTGTTGTTTAAGAAAAAGGTATAAAAATTTATTGGTCATGACCATTGGAGGTCAGACCATTGAAACCCATCCTCCTTTTTTTAAAAAAACAAAATATGGTCACCTTTTTAAATGTTTTCAAGTGTTGTTTAAAAAGAGTAATAAAAAATTCTTGGTCATGACTGTTAGAGATCAGACTATTGAAACCCTTTTTTTCTTTTTTTCTTTTTTTCTTTTTTTCTTTTTTTCTTTTTTTCTTTTTCAAATGTGGTCACATATATGAAATATTGTCTCCAAATAGTAGTTTAATTAAATTAAACAATATATAGTTGTAGAAGGTATGAGTGTTGTACCATAGTTTTTCTTAAAATAATAAAATATGAAGGACCTCAAAATATAGCCCTGCATGGCTGGAGATTAGAGGTGTCAAACGGGATGAGCCGGCCCAGCACGGCACGAGCCCAGCCCGTTTAAATGAGGCATGGCACAAGCACGAATATTAATGGGTCGTGCTCGACACGGCACGAAAACTTAGGCCAAGCCGGGATCAAAAAATGAGGTCCAATGGACCGGGCCGGCCCATGGCCTAACATGGGTCGGGCTGGGCCCGAGCACGCTTCAAGCACGGCACGAGCCCAAGCATGAGCCCAAACATGGCCCAAGCGCGGCCCACTTAACATTTTTTTCTTTCTCAAAGTCAAAATGCAATAATTTGACATCTAATGTCATTATTCATAAGTTTTTTTTTAATCATAAATATATATTTGATGTCCTTCATTTAATACTTGGGTCCTTAATTAATTAAACATATCAACTACAAATTAATTAAACAACATTGGACTTGATATCTAATCATTACATATGACATATACGCTTCTCTTATAATCAAAGCAAGACATTTTTTCACATATAAAATAATAAGTTGTTTAAAGATGAAAAGTTGAAGTGGACTTTGTAGAGTTGGACACTTTTTGCCCTCCGCCATTTCATATTGTTTGGATGTTTGATTGATTAATTTTTTCAAATAGTTCATCATTTGTTGCCTCTAATTATATTTTTAATGTTTATAATTTGAATTATGTAGTGGAAAAAAAATCAAGTGAAAATAAAATAAAATTAAATGGATTGGTTCTTGGGTCCGAGTATGGCACGAGCACGAGCACGGGAACGGCACCAAACTGAAATTAACCCTTTACTATATTATCCTCATGGGAGATATATCAATCCTTTTTTACTATATTACAGAAACAATGTCAAGTAAGAATTTGAGACTTGGGAACATATGTCGATTCTATAAGAGAGTATGAACAAAAAGAAATCCACAAATTACCATGTTATATAATTTTCAAACGAAGAGTTCTGTCTCAAAATGACATAAGTTTGTGTAAAATTATGAGTCAATTAGACAGTAAGATTTTAACTCTAGGTTTGGTTCACTTTTCACTTGAGAAAATAAGTGACACATAAGGTTTTCATATTCTTCCTTGTTTTTTGTTATGCGAAGAAGAGGAAGAGAAAATACAATTATGACAACCACTGTTCGTATAGATCAACTTTCTTTTCAAATCTCATCAATTTAGAAGAGAGAGTTTGAGAGGAAAACTTAGAGTTATTTCTCCACCTTTTCTCTTCTTTTCTTGTTCATTTGCATTTAATAAGTAAACCACGAAAAGGTAAAAGAACTTAATTAGTTTCTTTTCTTTTTTCTTTTTCCTTTTCTCTATTGGTTAACCAAAATTACATATATGCTAAACTCGAAAAACTTCATGTAACAGCAACAAACAGAAAATGTTTCCTCTTTTTTCCTTAAAACTACTATTTCTAAAGTGATGCTAAGGTATAAGAAAGTACCCCACAAGAAAGGAACTCTACATACCTATATTCACCCTCCTTGTAAAGAAGAGCATGCAAATCCTCTAGCACTTTATAAAACAGAACTCCTCGCAACTTTGTCAACTCAGAGCGAACATCTTGAAGGGCACCAACCTGGGCCAATCAATTATAATCACCAACTCATATAGACAACTAAAATGGTATCTTTTAAATATTTCCTCTCAATCAATTATAATTACAGGATAATGATGTAGCTGCTGCAGTGTCAAGGGGTCTACTGACTCCTAGAGATCTAAGGACATTGGGAAAGAAGGATGCGTATACTATTGCAGATGACACGATGGCTTTAAGCGTCCGATGTGCAGCGTCTATTGCAAACTTGGGGCAGTGATTGTTGGCAAAGAACCGGGAAAGGGATAAATCTAGAATTTACTGTTTTGTATTGCTGTAATTGATTGTATGTTATTTGAATCGGGATTTTTGTTGGAAGAACTACGTGTGACTTGATCCCTCAATAAGGGTACGTAGGTAGCCTGGGGTCTCATCCAAGTGCAGCTGCAAGACAAACCATATTTTTTTGTGGACTTTCATTTGGTCATTGGAATCGAATCCGATTGGTTAGAGTTGTTAAGTTTGGTTTTGAATTCATCGGTGACTTGAAGCCCGAGCTTGTTTAGAGCAATCCTTATCCATTTCTACTTATGTTGAACCCTATTTCGTTTCTAAAAGGAATTATGTAAGTTATACTCCGCTATCGCCCGTACTAGGGTATGATGGTGAGGCCGGAAGCCTATTGTGGAAATTGTTTGAATCTTGTTGTTGCATGTTGCTAGTTGGTGTTTTAAATTGTGTTTTTTTTTTAGTTGGTAGAAAAATTTGGGAAAAGACAAATTTTCAGGGGAGATTCTGCCGAAATTTCGACAGAAAGTCTCGTTCTTTAGTAAGTGGGCCGACATCAGTATGATGTATGAAATATGGCAGGATTCGTTCCGGATTCTGAGGAAAATTCGGGGCGGGTCTTGTCAATGAGGGTGGGGGAGATAGAAATAAAAGGAGGGGAAGGAGAGGGAGGCGGAACGAGCATTTTCTCTTTCTTTTATTTCTTTTAGTTTTCTAATTTTATTTAGAAAATAAATGTTAAACTATTTTAAAAAATAATTGTTTTATTCAGATCCATGTGGCATTAAATGATTGGATATATGACACTATATATGTGTCACGTCATCAATTTAATAAAAATTTTGACAAAACCTGTAAGGACTAAATTGATGCGTCCGGATTAACATAAAGGAGCAGACCAATAATGTAAAATATAAAGGCCCAAAGATGATAATTTAACAAACCTGAGGGACCATTTGTGATAAAAACCCTAATTTTTTAGACGTCCCCTTTCTTTTCTTCGTTTTTTCGCCCGGAAGGGACGCCCTCTGCGCTCCGTAACCGGCGTTCGTTTTCCAGATGCCCTTCTAGGGTTCTCAAAGCTCTTAATCTTTCAGAATTCCCTTGTTTCAGTTCATCTTACAAATACCCATATGACCAGGACCAGCAGAAAACGACGCCATGTTTACCCACCTCCTCTCCCCTCTTCTTCTTCAAACCCAAATCGCCATAAACACCAACCCACCAAGAAACTCCACTCTTCCCCAAACCCAATTCGGAAAAACCACAATTCTTCAACCCCAATTCAGAAAAACCACTTGTCCTCAACCGCAATCCCCTTGCCCCTAAACCCAGTTCCCCAAACCCCCATGCCTAAGCGCCCAACCTTTGCCTCATACCTTGACACACCCAATCTACCTCCCAAGATCAGACTCCTCTGTGAAATAGTGGCCAATACCCATAAGGTCCTCAAACTCTCTTACGCTTTTCCAGGTCCCGCCGTGAAGTTCTTTAGGTGGGCTGGTCACCATCTCAATGACTACCACAGCCCCTATGCGTGGAACTTGGTTGTTGATCTTCTGGGCAAGAATTGCTTCTTTGATGCGATGTGGGACGCCATAAAGTCCATGAGAAAAGAAAGGTTACTCTCTTTGGCCACTTTTGCTTCTGTTTTTAGTAGTTATGTAGTTGCCAATCGTGTCCAGGAGGCTTTTATGACTTTTGAGGTTATGAGCGAATATGGATGCCCTAGAGATATCGTGGCATTGAATTCCCTTTTGAGTGCAATTTGTAGAGATGGGAAGACTTCAGATGCTGTTGATTTTTTGCGTATTGCTAAGGATAAGATTAAGCCAGACCCTGATACGTATGCGATTTTGTTGGAAGGGTGGGAAAATGAAGGCAATGTAGCTTGTGCTAGGCAGGTTTTCTCTGAGATGGTGATTGAGATTGGTTGGGACCCGAGCAATGTGCCAGCTTATGATTCATTCTTGAATACTTTGCTTAAGGGGCCTGATGGGATCCGCGAAGCAGTGAAGTTCTTTGAGACCTTAAAAGATAGGAGGTGTTATCCGGGGGTCAAGTTTTTCAGCCTTGCTCTTGATGAGTGTGTCAAGAATAGCGATTGTCGGGGAGCTGAGGCTCTTTGGCAGGCAATGGTAGGGATAATTGGTTTCCAACCTGATACAATTATGTGTAATTTGATGATTTCTTTACATTGTCGTGAAGGAAATCCAGATTTAGCAAAGAGAATGTTGGATGATATGGTGTACAATGGGGCATTTCCGAATTCACAAACATATGACATATTGTTTAAGTCGTTGATCAAGAATAGGAAGTTGAAGGAGGCATCGACTTTGTTTACTGAGATGGTTAAAAATGAGTGTGTTCCAGAGCATGCTAATTGTAATATGGCAGTAAGGACTTTCCTTGATTTGGGGGATCCTTATTTTGCTATAAAAGTTTGGAAGTGCATGCTAGAGAATTACCATTCTGGCTTGGAGGATACTGGGAATTTGTTGGTTGTAGGGCTCGGCGATCTGAATAGGGTCCCAGAAGCAGTTAAGTACGCAGAGGATATGATTGTAAGAGGAATCAAATTGGAATTTTCCACATTGTCAAAGCTGAAGCAGAACCTCATCCAAGCAAGGAAGGAATACTTGTATGATGAACTTTTTAGAAAGTGGAAAGCTCAATAGGTAGGTTAGAAGTACTTAGAATTATACATCTTTTTTACAGTTAGCCTTGTGTATAACTTGCACATTTTGTTCGCTGTGAAAAAAAGTGAAACTGCATATTGTCATACAGCTGTATGGCTGCTTTGTAGTTGCATTTCTTTGCCTATTTTGTCTATCTGTGTCAATTGATAGAAGTACTTTCAGATGCGTAGGTTTTTTTTATGATGAAAATATTAGTTCTTTTCTTCTGAATGTTGTTATCAGTTTAGCCTTCTAAATGTTATGTCTAGACTACTAATTCAGATGCAAAGACATTTTTATTATTCCTTCCTTGGTTAATATCTTTTGTATTATTTAACGTCTAAACTATATCATGTCCTAGGTATAATGTGCGGAAAATGTTGTGGATATATATGCCCTTTACAAACAGAAATCTCAAACCAACTTATTCAATTTCGAACTATGTGGAGTCTAATGGTATATTTGGATGACGAAAATAAACTTGGAAATTAAAAAAAAACTTAGAATTTCTTAAATGACATACTAATTTCCTTTTTGGGATTCGTAAACAAAGAAATCTATAAATTCCATGTCTGCAAAAATTTGGAATTTGAGGGGCATAAATCCCAACTTTAAATTCTACCTAAATAGGTGTTATTATCTGTAAAATTCTTAGGCAATGAGAGTTTTGAGAGAGGAAAAAAAAAAGCTACAGCACTAACCATTGCCACATTGCCACCTCTACTACCACTACCTTGCCATGGCCATCACCACCACCTCAATTCCACCACCAGCTCCTCCATCGCCCCCACCACTGCCACCCCTCACTATCATCACCACAACCATTACAACCACCAACACATCCACTGACAGCCCCCACCCCACCACCAGCACACTATTAATAAAACTACCAACACTCCCAACACCTCTCTTTAATGGAGGCATAAGGATCAACTTTAAATCCCATATTTAAATCTCATTATGCTTAATAGGCTAAGGCATCATAAATGTCCTGATTTGTTGTGTTGTTATGCACATGTGTTCCCCTGATCAATCAGTGAAAAAGTGTATAAACTAGTAATTGTGCAATCTCTTCTTTTTCCACCACATCATACTTAAAAGAAAACTCTCATTACCAGTTTTCTTAACCTAAGATCTTGGTTTTGAATGTCAAAATTTTTATATTTTTCACTCAGCAGTATTTGGAGTTGTTAAAATTTTTTGTTCAATATTATGTAATTTATATTTTGTGATATTAAAATGTGAGAAGAAAAAACAGATGTGTTTTGGACTCTGGTCTTGTATGTTTGTTGTCTCCGTCAATACGAGTTTGTGACCTGATCTCACAATTTTCTAGTGCAGTTCAGGTAAGTATATTGCTTTCCTGTTTATCTAGTCTCTGACATGATCTATGAACAATATGTATATACTGGAACAATTAAGCTGGACTCAATTAGCTATCTGGAAACTTTTACTCTCTTCACTCATGAAAGACTAGTGTTCTTCAACTTCAAGACATTAAAGGGTGGGGATTTTGGATAGCAGAAATGAAGTGCATTTCTGGTACGAGTTAATGCTTTATGCTAATTTTATTAGTTGTCAGAATTTAGAGTTGAGGGGGATACCCTTGCTAATGCAAGATAAAGGATCAGGGTTGTCAGGAACCTTATTAATTATTTGCTTCCTTATTGCCCAGCTTAGCCTGACATTAGGAATATGTCAGAAGGTACATACTCACATGTTCCTTAATTAGTTTCTCTAGTTATATTACTTTTGTTGACTAACTTGTGAAGATAGGTTTCTTCCTACATGTTTCACCACTTTGGAAGGGTTCCAGCATGTTCATGCAACAATGTATGTAATTTACCAAGTAGAGAAACAGAAACCATTCATGAAAAAAATGTGAGTCTTTGAACAAATATGATGCGAAAATTTAATATTCTTAACTCTATATGTCTCAAGGTCCAGATACAATGCAAGGAAGAATTTTATGCATATATATGTCTTTTACAAACAGAAGTCTCGAACCAACTTAAAATAGAGTGTAAATGTCCTGCTTTGTTGGGTTGTTGAATTTTCTCTGATGGCATGTATGCATCTGTTCTCCCTCATGGTAAAAAGGTGGATAAACTATACTATGCAATTTCTTGTTTTTCCTCATCATACTTGAGAAAGCTCTACCAGGTTCCTTAACCTAAGACCTTTGCTTTCGAATGTTGAAAGTGAAAATTTTGTCTCAGCAATATTGAGAGTTGTTATGTTCAGTAGTAGGCAATTCATATTTTATGATGCTGAGATGAGAATTGGACCTTGCACGTTTATTTTTGTTGTCTCCCTCGCTGCGAGTTTGTGGGATCTTTGTCATCTCATTTGAAAAAAATTAGCTCTTCCTTTCCGGTGGTGGTTGATCTTGGAATGTCCTGGTGTGGATAAGTTTTTTTGCTTTGCTCTTGATCTGGGATTGGCATGGTCTATCACTAAAATAATATCTACATTGGAACAAATAAGCTAGATTGAATTAGTTATCTGGATTCTGAAAACCTTTCACTCTCTTCAATCAATGAAAGATCGATAATTGCGCTTCAAGGCATTGGTTAAGGTCACTTCAGGTGCGTGTTAATCCTGATCATAAATTACTTTTTTGCTCTGTAAGTTGTAGTAAGTTTAGAGTTAAGACAATTTGTTTATCGTAAAAGATTTGCATGCTTGAGCTGCAAACTTAACTAGTTGAGGTCGCTCAGCCTGATATCTGAGACATGTGAGAAATTTTACAGGTTTTAGCCACAAAAAAAACTTTCACTTTTGGAAAAAGCCAAAGCTTTTTCAAAAAAGACAGAAAAACATCTCAACTTTCAAATTAAAGATATGCAAATGTAAAGGATTTCTTAGGAAATCCAAAAATAAATAAGGGTAATTTTGTTTATTTTGACTTCTTTTACAAAATTTCTCTCTCCTTTGTGTTTTTTCAAAGTCATGGAGGTTTGGCTGATATTTCTTTTGTTAAATAACTTGTGACAGCAAGGTTTCTTCCTCCATGTTTGACCACTTTGAAAGACATCCTACATGCATGTGCGTAGTATTTGAGTGTCATAATTGGAAACTTGTTAATCGTTTCTATCGAAATAGCTCTTTGATTTGACTGCTGATCTTTTCTGATTAGTTTATTTTAATTTGTAGTGAACTACCTATTTTAATTTGTAGATTGCCGGTATGACATTATGCCCACGAGTGCAACAAGTAACTACCAAACAAGTTTTCAGTTAATCTAAACGTTAGATTCTCTCGACCCCAAAAAAAAAAAAAAAAAAAAAAAAAAAAAAAATTGGAATTTCCTAAGAGCTTGAGTCGGCGACCAAAATCACCATCGGCACAAATTCTGATTGAGGGTTGAAGTCCTTGTCAGAATGCATGGAGAGTGACTCCGGCCGAGAGCTAGCTACTTATTCACATTTTTTTTTCTTTCTTTAGAGGCTGTTTGTTATATCAGATTAACCAAGAAACCACCATGATTCATTTTCGAGTTGAATTCCATCCAACCATGACATATAAAATCATATTTAATAATTAAATTATGCGAATATAATGCAAATCTGAGTTTTAATTAAATTAATGATCCAAATCATATCCAATTAGTTAATTAATGAAGGCCCATCTCATGCTCACGAACGGCTCATGACAAAGTTAGCTAAGTTGGGCTGTCAAATTGGGTTGTCGGCTGTTCGATGGTATTTGGGTGGTCACCAAACTACAAAGTCATTTTGGATATCATTTGCTCATTATATTATTATTAATTCATAGAATCATTTCATATAAAAAATCCACACTAAACCACAAGCTTACCCTTTTCCCTAAATACATCATCAATTCATCATATCAAACACATTGGTCCTGTCTAGTTCCTCTCTCTCTCTCTCTCTCTCTCTCTCTCTCTCTCTCCTCTTCGTTTTTTGCTGTTCTATAAAATCCCATAATGACACAATCTCAGTTTACTTTTTAGATAATTAAAATCCCATAATGACATAATCTCTTAACCATTAAGTACGTGGAATATTATTTAAATGCATAATTTAAATTGAAGACTTTATTATCATCATGACTTATATCGAGCTACCGACACCAATAAGAACAACATAACATCTATTACCTGACAAGTGAATATTGCCATATGAGCCAAAGTTTAAAGTTCATTTCAAATTACCATTTTTACCCTTTGTCTGTCTCCAAATTATTCTTGACGGGTGGTTCTGGCTGTCCACAATAGGCTCAGCAGCAGGAAGAATCTCTCTCTTTCTCGGATCAAATCACGTTTTCTCTCCCACTTAAAATAATTGCCATTTGTTTTTCTTGGTAAATGGAAAAAAAATAAAATAATGCCATTTAAATTTTTAACAAAAAGCAAGCAAGCGACCCCATAACCATAAACACCCACTCCTCTCTTTCATTCACCTCGCAAATATTTGTTGAGAGGACCAATGCCCACTACCTTTCCACTCTCTCTTTCATTTCACTTTCTCCCACTCTAATCCAACGACCTTTGTTTAATTCAAAGACCCATTTATATATACCAACCCCATCTCTCCCTCTCTCTCTCTCTCTCTCTCACACACACACACACATTCATTGGAAAATTCTATCCCACCCTGCAAGCAAAGCAGCTTTCACTTTTATTTTTGTTCTCTTCTCTTTCCTTTGGGTCTTTTTCTGTCTTTGCCTCTCTCTCTCTGGCTTCTGGGTTTGTGTGCTTTTTACTCATTGAGATCTGCATCAAAATGGGTTACTCCCAAGGCACTTCCACTGACTCTATAGAGCCCCCCAATGCTCCTCTATACGCTTCCTCCTCTGTAGTAGCTACAGATCACTACTGTGACTATAATGAGCTTAGAATCAAAACCATTGTGAAGAAGATGCTTCGGGAGCTTGGTCTGGCCTGTTTTCTTCCACCTCGCCAGAGGAGGAGCAACCAGAGCCCAATTGACGACGACGACGACGACAACAATGGAAACAACAAAAAGAACATAAATTTAGAGCACAACAAGGCATGGTTGCTAGCAGAGTCAGGTGGGTGTGGAGCAGAGTTGGCAAATGCTGATCCACACTCAGTTCATTCCTCTTTCAGGTTCAGCTTCTGCTCTCAAGTTGAGCTTGAGTCCTTGAACATGAGCTCTTCGGCCGCTGCAACTGTTTTGATGGTGAATTTGGACAATGGGTTGTGTGAGTCTAAAGCTAAAGAATTGAAATGGAGGAGATTTGAA